GTGGGCTCTGCAGAGGCTGAAGGAATCCTGGACTGTGAGAACATGGAACTGGCAGAACTGAGTCAAATCTGGCTTTGCCATGGCTGGGCAATGGTCTCAGGTCTTAGAGCTATGCATTTCTCTTTAAAGTTTGGTAACAGTTTTATTATGTCTAATTTACATATCATACAGTTCACCATTTAAATTGTGTTCGGTGTTTTGTAGTATAGTTACAGATATGTGCAAGCGTCACCACCACCAATTGTAAAATGTTTTTGTTACCTCAGAAACCCAAACCCCTCAACCTCCTATTCCCTTTTATCCCTAAGTAGCCATTAATATTTCTGCCTCCATGGCTTTGCCTTTTCTCAACATTGTGTGAAAATGGGGTCATGCAATACGTGGTCTTCGTGCCTGGCTTCTTTCCCCTAGCATGTTTCATGATTCGTTCATATTGTATCATGTATCACTATTTCACTCCTTTTATGCCTGAATAATATTCACTGTATGGTTAGACTCACTTTGTTCTTTCATTATTGATGGACATTTGGGTTATGACCCCTCTTACGTGAAAGTGGTCGTGCTTCCACGATTCTGGGTATCCAGCCAGTGGCTTGGGAAGATTTTGGGGAGCAGCTGGAGGAACACAGAAAAGCTTAAGGAAGCAGCGTCTGATTGCCGTATGCCTCTAGTTACCTGTGGAAACCTCCTTTCCAATTCTGTCCAGTTTGAGGAGGGGCCATCAGAACTGCTTGTAGGAATTACATACTCTGGAGTAATGATTCAGAATCATAGCTCTTGGCTAAATTAGGTTCCAATCCAGGCTCTGCCAGTAACTTGTTGCAAATGGTACACTTAACTTTTGTGTGCTAGTGTCTATGTCACTTAATTTGGGAAAATATTAAGACTAACCTCTTATGTGGCACTCAGTGTGCATTTCTGGACAGAATATTTAAGCTTATATTATTTCGGGCTTAAAGCCAAAAGACACCATAGTAGCGGTCTGTCCTCCTCCTCCTCTGACCAGGGAAGAGGAAGGAATGAGGTCAGTTACTAGTTGGCTGTGCTCAAGGAGGAGAGAGAGATATTTTTCAGCTGGAGGATGTGAACCTAGATTCTGGGTTTCTTGACCTCATCTGCCTGGGTGTCTGTTCCACACAAGAGTAAAGAAGAAACACAGAGGCAGGACAACAAATTGGCCAACCTGGCCCATTTTTCTGCTTCCCCAAAGTGGACAGTGACCAGTGAGACCCAAACCTGAACCCCTATTTTCTGTCATCTATCTCACAGAGCTGGCACAAGCATTTCTGAGATGCCCTGAGGAGGGTTCCCACTTGGATGTCAGACTCCGACCTTTTCTGAGCCGGAGACCCCCAGCCACTTGCTTGTCCAGCTGTTTTTTCCCCTCAAGATCTATGGAAGAACAATGCAGAGATATGGCCAGAAATCAGATTCCTCTTTCAGGAGGCTGAGGAGACTAGTGATGCCCCAGGATTTTGGGGGAGCTGTGGGAGCTGTGCCAAATACTGTACAGGCTACATTTGGGGAGGGACCTAGAGCCTAGACGAGAAGTCTTCACACCCTTTAATACCTTTGAATTTGTGGAGTGTCACAGTTTAAATAAATCTAGTAGAATAAAATTTTAGATGTGACTTGCTTCTGTCAAGGGCAGCTGCTGTCCTTTGTTCTCTGTGCAGGAAGCCTGCCTACTGTAATTCACCATCTAGATATGGATCCCTTTTGTCTTTATTGTGCCCTCTGCATCTGCAGGAGCACTGTACATTCATGGTCATCAACTGGCTTTCCCCCATGTCCCCAGCACTGAGGAATCCACAGCCCAGGTACTCCAAGAAATGATCATTTGTGATTAGTGTCATCTACAGGTAGATCTAGGCTGAGCTCAGTGATTGGGAGCCACCAGGAACTGGGCTGACTCTGGCACCCACTCCCCAGTTGCCTCTTATCTGTCACTCCTTATCTTGTCATTGCATGAGCCCCGCCCCTTCTCTGGCTCAGTTGGGTCTGAACTGGAGTGCCTGAGGCCTCTCTGCTGCTTCATTTGCACCTGGGGTACAGAGAAGGAGTTACCCAGGGTCTTGTGGAGTGGCACAGAGAGCAGAAACCTGGAGGTTGGAGGAATTTTCTATCTGTTGATCCTGGAAAAGGACTTCCAAAATAGAAAGGTGAGGAGTGGAGGAGCCATGTGATAGCCAATGTTGGACTACCATTGGACCTCTGTGGAGATAGTGGGAGGTGCTGGTCACTAGTTGAGACCCACTGGAGGCCCTAGTCTTAGAGGGAAGCCCCCTATGAAAGGGAATTTAATCTACTGGGAGCCCTTCTTTAATGGATATTTCACACTTTGAAATTTCCATCATCTAATAAGTATTTATTGAGCACCTATGCTATGCTGTGCTAGGCAGCCTGTTTGGCACTTGGGGACAGCTGTGGACCAAACAGACCCAAATTCCAGAAGTGATAACATCTACATCCCTAGAGATGGCCAACCTCTCCCAGGGCATTCTGGTGCCCACCTAAGATTAAGGCTTGGGACACTGGAGGTTGATCTTATAGGGCCTGGTGATTCACACAGATAGCATGTCAGTTGGTGTCTCCAATTTGTTTCCCTGACTAGAAATAGCCTCTGAAAAGAACTCCTTATAAAGAAGCGCCTTTGTGAAGCATTAGTCACTGTTCAAAGCTGGAAGAGAAACTGCTTTGTGGTGGGTTCGTTTGGCTTAAAAACAAAACAAACAACCCCAAATAAACATGCAGACCCACGTCTTGAGCGCGTGTGTTGGGGTGTTAATAAGCGCTTGTGATGTGAACTAATTTCATCAATTTAAAAAAATCTAATTAGTCTTGCCAGGCGGGCACACCCCTGTAACAACAGCTATTCCGAAGTTAAGGCTGGAAGATGGCAAATTCGAAGCCAGCCGAGCAATTTAGGAAGAGGATCTTTAAAAAGACAAAAGAAAACAGTTTTTAAAAGTAAAACATGCTCCTGAGAAAAAATTCCGGACAGCATAAAGGATTATTAAATGACAAGTTCAAGACTCTGCAGACCCCATCAGCGCCAAATTCTTGTCCCATCTTGGACGCAAATCCACTCTCCCCTTTAAAAATAGGAATGAAGCCACGTTGCCCACTGCTCTTCCAGCCTTTTCCCCTTGCTGGCCAGTGGCGCTCGCTCCTGGCAGCCGCGTCCTCCGTCCGCTTCCTACTGCCGGCCGCAGCGGGGAAGGTCCCTGCAGCACCGCAGCGTCTCCACTTCCGTGTGTTACCAAAGATTTCGATCTTTGGGTTGCTTAGAGCAACAAATGGAATAAACTGGGAGGAACCGAAGAAACAGGACGGCAGTTTGTAGCTGGAGGCTGTGTGCTTGGATCGGGCCTTGGAGTGTGGTCACGGCCGAAGCGGGACGGACCCGGTTGCGCACCCGATCACCGCTCGGAGGCCCAGAACTTTCGTCTCCCGCACTGGGCGGTCAACGGGAATTAGAGCGCGGGGCTGGGGCGAGGGATCTCCGCGGGGTGAGAGTCCCGGCCGGGATTAGCAGGTTTAAAAGCAGGTCAGGGAGAGCTAGAGCTAAACGTGGCGGCGAGGTCCGCACGAGGTCAAGGTCCTAGGGAGAGGCGGGCTCTGCCCCTCGCGAAATCGCAGCGCGGCGTCGCGGTGTGGGAGAGGCCGGGAAGCCGCCTCCCGAGCGAGGCGCCCGGCTGTCCAGGGCT